CATGAGCAGTTTTACAATTTGATAGTCGTAATTTTGCTATACACATAACTTGACTAATTACTTCAAACAGTAAAAGCTTTAAACTTTATACAAAACTAGGTATTCCATCGCAGGATTCCTTGTGAACTCTGTGTTCATTAGTTTTTACTCTGTTGAATTTTTTGAAAAGTATGTACCAATAACAATAGTTAAAGATTTTTTTCTAAACAGAAAAGGGCCAGTGATAACTTTCTTTCAGCTTCGGATCATCAAAGTAAGACATCACAAAATCCACACCCTGAAGAGCAGAATGAACTGTGTATTTTGGGATCTGTCATTTTTTAACACGAAGAAACAGTTTATGAAACCAGTTTTTAATTTTTTGTTCTTGTTGAAGAATGTGTCATGAATGCAGATATATTGTCTTTTTTTTCTCAGACTTGTTCAAGATAAGTTGGAAAAATAGACGACTCAGTCAGTGGCAAAGAACGTACAAATAAATCAATGAATTGTATCTGTGGTCTGTCGTAATCCAACCATATGGGGGACTTTTTCCCCAGATTTGTCAGACGCTGGCAACTTCATTTCCATTGCTTTTATTGTGTGTATACAAACACATGAAGCCATTCTACGGTTATATCTTGAACAGGAAAATTTGTAAAGAATTTATGCACTCGGCAGGTATAAAAGAGGAAAGACTTTTTCAGACAGATTGTGTGAATATTATCTATTATGTAAATGCCATGAGTAAGAAAGAATTTATAACAACTACCCAGGGAGGTTCAGTCATGTCCAAGGTTAAACGGAATCCATTGTGTTTATCTGAAAGCAGGTCTGCTCGGTTATTATTCGGCAAAATCCTAGAGCTTGATCTGTTCTTGAAACTCTGAAGGTTGGCCAACGACAGAAGTCAAATCTTTTATCACAAGTAGTGTGTTTATGGTCTACACAAAATTGAATCATTCTGTATGGCACTGTTGTTATAACTCCAAGCCATCTGTTATGAATCTGTTCTGGGGTTAATTAATGTCATCTCATGTTGGGAGAAGTGACATTTGAATTGACGTCAGCACTGGCAATCACTAATAAAACCAAGCTGCAGTCACCTACATGTACAGGCTCTTTTTAATATATGTACAGGCAACATTTTAATATGAATAAGAGCACTTATATGTCATGCATTTGAAGACCATAAAGCAAAATGGAAATACCCACATTCCTGAGTTGAATGAGAGCATATGGCCCACCTCGATGGGTTCTCCAAGTCTAAAGGCTGCACCTATATTATGGTGTTCTACATCTGCCATGCACCCCATGGAT